CGCCAAAGAGGCGTGTTGACCCGTTAGTCTGGCATTGGTCGGATGATTCAAAGGGGCGCTGCAGGCGAGGCACGTGTCAGTGAGTGGTTGGGGAGCGGGTTGCCGTGGCCTTCTACAACTGGTAGCAAGCAAAAGGTCATGAATGAAAGAGTGAAGCGGACGATAGAGAGGGAAGCACGCAATGAGTGCATCTGTGTTGAGCCTCAGAGAAGGCAGATGGTGCGCAGACCAGGCTTTTATCGGTATACTCGGGGTTTTCTATTATGGTTTTTTGCCTTGCTGCATGTTCTTATACGATGCAGGTTATATGTATGTGCATATGCACGCCCTTTCATCTTCTCGAGCTCGTTTGGGGTGGTTCCGGTGAAGGACCCCGCACGAGGCTGCGTTGGTAAGAGATAAGGGTTACGAGCATGCCATTGTTGTTTGGTATTTAAAAGTATGTTGGTGTTGTTCTTTATTCATTGCAATATATATTTTCGAGTACCACTGTGTTGTTGGGGTGTGCTGTGAAGGTCCCAATGCCTCATTTGGCTCTACGAAATGGTTCAACAGTAACTTGACTATCCAAATTCGCTGGGTAAGGGAAACCACAGGACATTAGTTGGCCCATGGAAAACACTTCTGAGCTTGAAGTTGGTCACTTACATGGAGATGTATCAATCTCTACACTCTTGCGTGACAAGTTCCCACGATCGCAAGGCTTGTCAAAGCGTTTGCCATCGAAGCTGCAAAAGTTAGACAATCATGCAAGTCCCCCTCCATGCGCAAACTTCAAGCATCGTCGCCTTCCTGTGTGAGCATAGCAGGAGCGAAGCGCGACAATCGATAACGCAACGATATTGGACAAAGTGTCTTGATTGGTCTATACTATATGCCGCATCCGCATGCGTAGTCCATCTAAAAAGAAATGCTGTCAATGCCCAAAGCGCTCGTTTGCTATTAAGTCTAGACTCGAGGATCGCGACATGTGAAAAGGGAAAAAGAAATGATGAAAAAAGTGACGGTGTGATGTTTGTTTCGCCGTGGAACTCCAAGCTATGAGATAGATGATGTATGGGGGAGCTCGGTTTGTCCAAGATGTGCCTGGGCAATGAACCAAAAGGTGGCCACTGTATTCTGACAGCACAAAATACAGTGGATTACTCAACGTGTCTGATACCCAAGGTACAACTGTCAAGATACGAGCTCCGTGGTAGGAAAAGGTGCAAAGTGGACAGAACAGCCTAGTCGGTCCGATAGTGGAGAAGTATGTACAATCGAAATGAAGTAGCCGCGGTAAGAATATCGGGCAGTATAGTCGGTAAACGCAGCACCGGTACGTTCTTCACCGCAGACTCGAGCGAAAGGTATGGCGAAGAATGTTTCCGGTGAGAATGGTGGAGTGATGACCTCGCGACGTTTGAAGACTTTGATGGACGGACCCACTCCGTTGGAAGCATGCACATGTAAAGTAGACCGCTCACGGCCGACTTTGACCGGCAAAATGTTTTCGCGGTGTGCATGGTCTTGTCGCGGTGGTGTTTGCCATAGTACGACGGATCTGTAGCCAAGTCGTATGGAAATTATAGTTCCATTCCATCGAGATCTCGCATCACACACGCCATCTGTGCCCGTTTCGCAGCCTCGGCAAGCAGCGCAGCCTGGTTGAGGTAGTTTGTCGTCTCAGCAGCCGTCTGGCCGGCTCCTGATCTGTTGGGTTGGTACTCGAAGCTGTTCTGCCGTTGGGCCTGCATGCGAGGCTGCTGCTGCAACTGTTGCGACTGCTGGTTCAGGGAGCCAAAGTACTGGTGGTTCTGGGGGCTCGTCGACGGTGAGACGGGCGGTGCAGATTGCGTCGAGGAGCGTGAGGAGGCGTGGCTTGAGGCGGACGTGCTGGTGTAGCTCGCGGCTGGGGTGCTGGAGGACTGGAGGGCAGAGAAGGCGGGTCGGCTGGGGGTGCCGTAGTGTTGTTGCGAGTAGTTGGACATGGCTGCGGGAATGGCTGGTAGGGTCGTGGTGGAGTCTTTGAAGTCTTCGATGAAGGCGAGGAGAGCAGAGGAGTGCAAAGGGTGTAGACAGTGGGTGAGGCGAGGGTATGGGTAAAGTAAATATGGACCCGTGGTAGCTCGATATTACCCTGTATTGGCGATCTTCTGCGCGTCACCCGGAACAATCCCAGCGAATTCGTCTAGACGTGTGCAATAAAGGCTGAAGTCGGGACAAGGTGAGGCAAAGCAGGATACAGGCAAAAGGAAGGTGGAATCGCCTGCAAGATAGGCACCACAATCCATGGCTTTACTTGGACCGCGGCTCAGACTGCTAGCTCGTGAATTTCGTCACAGGCCAATCTGATCTGCCGACGCTTGCCATCGCATCGAGACGCCAGGTTCCTTTAGTTTTACGCGGATTGCCTCTTGCAGGCAAAGCATTGCTCGCCCTACTCGCATCATGCCCGTAAGTCCTCGTTGAACCTTCCCCAGACTCGCCTACTGACCAGGGCAGCTCGTTTTAATTTCAGGTTCCACCTTCCCCTCCATGCTTTTCCCCCCGCCATCGAGCTAACCCACAAACGAAGGCTTCCCTTCCGCGGGCAAGACGACCAGAGCCCTCCAGCTAAAAGAGTATTTCGAGGCCAAGATCGCCAGTTCGCCTCCTGATGCGCGCACTTCCCGCCTAAGAGTCCATCTCATCAACGACCAGTCGCTGGGCGTGTCGCGCGCCGTCTACCATACCGCGAAAGCCGAGAAGGATGCACGTGCGGAAGAATATTCCGCCGTCAAAAGAGTCTTGTCGCGCGATGACATCGTTATCGCCGATGGCTTGAACTACATCAAGGGTTTCCGCTACCAGCTGTACTGCGAAGCCAAGGCCCTACAGACTCCAAGCTGCGTTGTCAGTATACCGTGTGCGCAGGTGGAATGCACGACTGACAGTCCTAGAGCTGCACATAGGCACGCCCGCCGAACGATGTCGCGAGAACAACAAGAAGCTCTTGGCGGATAAAGATGCCGACGGCGGCTATGAGGAGGAAGATTTTGAGAACCTCATCTTCCGGTACGAGGAGCCCAATGGCATGACGCGATGGGACAGTCCGCTGTTCATCGTCGTCGAGGAGGACGAGAAGCCGCCGTGCGACCAGATATGGGACACCATAGTCAGCAGCGATGGCAAGATGAAGACTGTCAAGCCGAACCTCGCGACCGTGCTGGTGCGTACTCCAGTTCTCCTAACGTGTTGAGATGGCGTCTAACACGCAGTAGAAACCAGCAACAGAGCAAAACTACCTCTACGAGCTCGATAAGACGACCTCCGATATCCTCGCCCAGATAATGGTGTACCAGAAAGACCACCCTGGTGAAGCAGGTGGAGAGATAGCCGTTGCCGATGTCGAGAAGCCCATCGAGCTCCCTGCGACGCCAATGACCCTCCCGCAACTCCAGCGCATTCGCCGCCAATTCATCACCCTGAATCGTCAACACAGCTTCTCCAAAGCACGCATAAAGGAGGTCTTTGTCGACTACCTCAACGCCGAGTTCCTGCGCTAGACTGGCGATGTCGGAGCTGTGTGGAGCAATGTGTCATCGGATATGCTTTCATACACCGCGACAAGGGAATGTCAAGGGACGAACGGAGAGACTGGATGTCGCCAGCTCAGCGGATACCGAGATGTTGGCACAATTCTCGAATGTTCTCCCAGCGACGACGCATACCACCTCTCCGAATTCTCCCGACCACACGATTCCCCTCAACACCAGCTGTACGCCATAACCACGTTCGCAACGATGATTGGCATCCCAGTCTCTGCACTTACCACAGTATGGTGTGATCCACCCCGCATTTCCAACGCCCACGCGCTACCTGCTACAAAGGGCCGACCCATCACCAACATCAATCAGGAATAAGGATCAAGCCTGTCGGACCTGTCAGGAGCGAGTGACGGAAAGTTTCTCAGTTTCTTTTTGTGATTGGCTACAATACTCCGATTAGCTCCAACCCCCTCAGTACGAATGTAGAATATGTACATCATGGGAAACAGAGCGCGATGTATGACGTGTTGCGTAAACTCCGATCAGGAAAGCCAGCCAAGCACCTTCTCGTCGATCATGACGCTGTGCATCGTGATGTCTTGCCAAAATCCCTTCTTACGAGTATGGGCAGCCAGCAGCCAGCAGTCGAACTGAGCTGAGCTGAGGTGATTCTATGCAGGCGCCCCATTACGTGCTATATACTCAGTCATCTCTTACATCCATCCATCCCTAGCGCTACGCCACACCATCTGCCCCCAACTGCCGTATCATTTCAGGTTCTCCCAGGTGCCAAAGCCATGGCGTTAATGGGCGTCTTGTCTCAAGCAACACCGATTACGCAGTATGCCTCCGATCGCGAAACCCTTGCATCGCCGTCCCCACTTACTCCCAAGCAAGGGCAAAAATGGAAAATGGAAAGCTGACGCTGGAATGGGCTGAGGCTGACAACCCCCCGCATATTTTCTCCACGTGCGAACCATGTGGGTCGCGCAGTGGGCTAGCTGGGGTGCGGGGATGTATGTAGGTGGTAGGTAAGGGTGTTGTGTCGTGGTAGTGGGAGGGTGTGTGGCTGGAGACGCACGCGAGGGGAGAGGTAGGACTTCCTTTCATCCGGCGGGACTTGCCGATAATCGGAGGTTTTGGGAGACGGTGATGTACGAAGAACAAGATTTGAAGCTCAGGGCGATGTACAAGCACACTGGCGAAAACAAATGAAGGTAGTGAGTTGCAAATGTTGAATTAAATTAACACCAAGAAGACTATGTACGAAGATTTCCATTGGAAAAAAGAAAATAGCTCGTCCCTCCATCCAATTCCCATCGTGACTCTCTTTCGCTCAGGCCAAAAGCGTGGTATCTCAAAAGCAGCAAAAGCCCAACCAGACCCGTGTCGTCAACAGGTGAAGAACCCTCAACCCTATGCGCCAGACACCCATTCTCCATTTGTACAACCCATCATAATCATCGTGATATCATCGACTCTGCTAGCACTTTACAACCCACAATAAGTAGCATCCAAGCCCGTCAAACCCGTCGTGCTATCATAGTCACCCGGAATCATAATACCAGGATACAATCTATCGCTACCAGGCGTAGACCCGTAATCACAAGCGCCAGTGCTGAATTCCTCACCACTAGTCAGACTCTCATCGCTGAAGCTGAGTACGCTTTGAGGTGGTGGGGCTTCGGAGCTATAGGCGCTCCAGTTCCAGACATTTGGCGACCATGTCACGTTGCCGTTGTCTGTGTTGGCTGATTGAGGTGCTACGTCGACGAGGGCGTCGGCTGGAGGGCCGCCGTAGATTGTGTCGTAGATGTTTGTTTGGCCGTTGTCTAGGGAGGAGAGGAGACGCTCCCAGTCGGAGGTTGAGACTTCGGTTTTGATGCCTTGGTTGTTTTGGAGGGTGTAGCTGGCGAGTGGGTCGTTGGCGAAGGAGAGGTAGTCGATGTTGCGTTGCTGCTGCTGCTGTTGTTGTTGTTGCTGGTGCTGGGGTGTTGGCTGACTTGGGCGACGCTTGTTTGGCATCGAGAAGGATGCGCGATGTGACAGTGGGCTCAATGTTGGTTCTGAACGAGCGACAGGAGGTTCTGATCGAATGGACGACAAGCTTGTCAGCGAAGGGTTAGCATGCGCACCCACGCTGGGCGAGAGGGCAGGCAAAGTCGCGCGACGAGGCTCTTGGTCTTGTCGGGCATTTTTCATCATGCTTGGTGAGAAGCGAGCTGCAAGTGCCTTGAGCGACTTTTGAGTAGCACGGAAGGTATCCAGAGGCGCTCCCATGTGGCCCTCTGAGTTGTGCCGTGACAGAGGCGGGGCTGGCATTTGCTCCACCTGAGGAACCGCCACGATACCGCAGCCCACGCGACGGAACTCGGCATAGCCAGCAGCATTTCCACGCTCAAGCATGTCCATTACAGAACATACCAGGCGGTTGCTGTCTTTGATCAACTTGCCCTCGCGAGCTAGCGTCAAGGTCTGGAAGAGCAGGCCGAAGCCGGCTTGGACGAGAACTTCATTGCGATTGAGGCAGAACGAGAAGCTTAGCTTGCGCTCGTCTAGGAGTTCGACAATTTGCACAATGTGCTTGCAGGCATCGCCAACGGCTACAACGGCCGACGAGCCCTTGTCGCCAAGATTAGCAACAACGGCTGGGCGGTATACAAGCGCCCTAATGTGGTGGTAGACGAGAGACTAGGCTTGTCAGCATTCGGTAGATGTAGCAGGAATTGAAAGACATACCAAAACAGGGGATCTGCTGCTGGTGACGTTGGTGCTTGGCTTGTCTTGCGCAAACGTCAGCTTGAGGTGAGGCGCAAGGTTAGCCTGCCAGTCTTCCAGCTCGTCGGAGAGCGACGCAATAGTGCGGAACGAAATGTCATGTGATGCCGATCCGGGGTAGAGCTCCGTCAGCACCTTGGACAGGATGCGCGACAGGCGGAACAGAGCCAGTGCGCTGGAAAGTTTGGTGTACTCGCCGGGCAGGGTCGGCAGGAACCCCTTCTCGGTGACGTATTCGTCATCGGCATCTACCGGATACTCGCAGTGCACATCTTCCTCTCGGATCAGCTTCGGTAGTCCGAGGTGTGCAGCGGAGAGACTAGGAGCGGTCAGTAAGTGTAACGGCGGGGCTCGGCCGAAGGCTACTTACCAGTCGACTGTGTACAGCGACCAGAACAGCTTCTTGCGCGTTTCGCTCGTCAGTGCATCGAGTGCGAAGCGCTTCTGGGATTGATGCAAGCCAAGACGTTGCGACAGGCCGACAGCCAAGCCCTTGTACTTGAGCACCCGCGAGTAATCAGCCCTCAGCAGGCAGAAGATCTGGGCAAGGACAAGGCACTGCAGCGTTGCGACGTCATTGTCCATCAAGAAGCTCTCGACAGCGCTCTGCCACTGGGCCTCGAAAGACTCTACATCTTGACCGTCGCGTGGCTGGAGAAGTTAGCATTCTGCTAGACATGAATGCAAGGTTTACATACGTCGCTTGACAGCGCGGCAATGCCAAAGACCAAGTTGAGTTGTGCAATCGACTTCTTGTCGCTCATGGTGTCCGGGCTAGCTACGTACTGCTCGTAGAGTGACAAGAAGGTCGGGCGATGGAGAATCGGGAATAGAGGAGCCCATTCTTGGAAGAAGATGTTGATCATCTGATCTGAGACCAGACGAGGAGGGGCTTTGAATGAAACGATGCGCTTGGGGTGAGTCGCAGTCGGTCTTGCTCCAGCGCCGAAGAAGGCGCTCGAGTTTATGTCGGTGGACAGTCTGCCTGTCTCTTGGGCTTTCTGCTTGAACGCCTCTGTGAAGTGTTAGACGCGCTGCACGTCACTCGACAGAACGTGAATCTTACCAACAAGGGTTCGTCCACTCGAGCTGCCCACGAAATACGAATCTTTGTTCAGGTCGTCGAGCAGAAGCGGTGCCTGCTGCACCTTGAACGTCTCTTCCTTCTCTTGTGATTCTTCTCGCACGTCAGAAGAACCCGGAGAGTGTATGGATGGTCGTCTAGCGGTCGAAAACGCTGCCGGGGAACGCGCATGCATGCGTGATAGCATGTCAATCTTTTCGTCTTTCTCGTCAAGGAGATCCTTCAGGTCGCGAACCTCTGCCTCGAGTATGCGTACGCGTTCTTCTAGCGATTCCGTGTATCCTCTGGGGAATGCGCGTCGACTGAGCTTGTCGCTCGTCTTGCACTCGAATCCGACATTGGTGCATTGCGTGCAGCTGGGGCGGATGCCGTCGCATCGTATCTTCTTGGAGCGACATCGGTCGCAGGCTTGGGCGATGCGGCTCTGGCAGCTGGAGCCGACCTTGATCACTTTCATGGGGAGTATTCCGGGCATTTTGGCGTCGTTCGTTACGCGTCGTCGGTGGTGTCAGGTGGTATTCGTCCAAGGCCCAATGGGCGATCACTGATAGGTCGTGTCACGTTCTGTCATCCGCTGCCCCGGTACTCGAGTATCGTGCGTGTATCGTAGTTGCGGTTTGGATATGTAGTCGCCAGGCGGTTCACAACTTGAATGCACAAGAACAGAGCAAAAGCAGTCAGGGCGAGTGCGCAAGTCAGACGGGCGAGGAGGGCTGGCGGAAGAATCGGGGACGGCGTGGCAGATGTAAGCTGCCACCTGCCACCCTGGCTTAGTCTTTCTCTGGGGAATTTGTGGGCGGCTGCGGGGCGACAGGCGCCATCCCACAAGGGATAGCACGAGCAGCACATCTTTCGCCGATACTTTCTCGTCCACGCCTGTTCACTAAACCTTAAAGCTGGCTTCGCTGCGATCAGCGCGCGGGACTCGTCTGCTTGTCAGAATCACGACGGCCTTTCTCGGCACTCCTCACCAGCCTCTCACAACGGTGACTAGAGCTTTCTGCGGGGTGGTGGCTTCGACGACGGTGAACACCCACGCTCAGATCATGCGAGGACGTCGGCCCGATTGCTGTGATTGAGCCACCCATCACTCTCTCAATTGCAATCTGCTCTAGTCCTGTGCAGCGTCCGAAATATCGCGCCCTTCTTAACCGGATGGGTATCGTCTACAAGGGCAACTAGCAGACAGCCATTCGCTAATAGCCGCAATATTGGCTGCCCGTGTGACTCCAACTCATCAGCGCACTTTATGTGTCACATTCTAGAAGACAAAAGGATCATCGTCCCTGTCAACACGGAACGCGCAACCTGTATACTCTGTCATTACAGGCTTAAAAGGCGGTTGTATCGACCAGGGACGGATGATGAGAGCGCACTGAGTGGGCGGCGCGGCACGCCGCTTATCTCGACTAAGCCACATTGCGACCTGCAAATCAATTCTCCTAGACGGGATCAATAGCATCCTCGCGTGTCTATGATGGCTATTTAGCCGGACCCTGCGTGTAAGGCTGAAAAAAGCAATTGTTGGATGTCTCAATCATTAGACAGTGGCTGTTCGGTAGGGCGGCCACATGAGCCGTCCGTGCCACATTGTGTGTATAGAACATGACAAGAGTGTTGTGTTGGCGAAGGGATACAAGTAGCTGCTTGACACAAGAGTATAAAATTCATCATTGGAAGCAACAGGTGCCCTGGCTGTACGACCATTGTCAGAGCTATATATATCAGCTAGCGACCGTTACCACACGACAGCATTCTCATGGCTATAAGCATCTCACCACGCCGAAACAAACTGCCTCCATGCTACGCAAACCCCACTCTCGGACCTCCTCGCCATTTTCTTTCCCTCAAATCACTCAGCGGCCTCTGGGGACCGTTCATGCCACAAAGAAGTGTCAGCCTTAAGGCGATCCCGTTTGCCGTAGCAAGTCGGATCAGGCCATCAATGACGATTTGAACCACCCACCCATTCAACGGCACGGGTAGCCATCGAAAGAAGAACTGGTCGCCTTATCCTTCGTAATCATTAATGGCTCATCTTTCCCTTCAAGTGTTGTACTATCATTTGCGAAAAGTTCGAGTAGATCTATCAGTTGCTTTGAGGCACAACAAGGTATCAAGCAGTGTGAAATGCATGGTGGAGAGCCGATGCTTCTATTGATGGTCTACCTTAGACGTACTGCTACCCATGTTGCAGTAAATGCAGGGCGCGTGGGGCTCCACCACGTTATATGAGCTCGTCTATCTGGAGTGGGGTCTTGGGTTATCAGGAGAAATCTTCTTCTTCTTCGTCCTTTCCTCCCTCGTCCAAGCCTAGGTAATGGATGACTGCCTCTGTGTCGAGGAGTTTGGCTTTCTGTTTGTCGTCAGTGCGGTTCCGGCGAGAAGATGCAGGAATGATAATTTGGTAGTTGAGCAGCCTGACAGTCTGGGCTTTTAAGCGCATGCAACCAAATTTGGTGCGACGCCACACCACATAAACTGTCGTCAAAGGACATGCTGCGACACATGCCCTCTGGCGGTGTAAAGTCCGAAACATACTATGATGGATCTCGCACTGCGGGGTATAGAGAGAAATTGGTCTTACCTGGCTGTCAAGAGTAGCAGCTGCACGCTTGAGCAAGTCTAGCTCCAAACTTCGGAGTCTCTCCGCAAGTCGCCACGGCATCTCCCGCATTGTACCCGTCCGTTTGGCGCCCTCTGTTTCCTTGAGAAGCTCAATCTGCGCATCAACGCGGTTCTGTAACAGTACCGTGGCACGTAGATGGAAGACATCCCATAATGGATCTTGTTCAAGATTATCTCGGAGCTTCACAGTATCGAGTTCCTGCTCTTTCCAGAAAGATTGGATTTCTCTCTTGCCATCGGTGGTTTGTCTGACCTTGAAGTCTAGACCATCCTCTTCGTTGACTACGACAAGCCATATGAAGTCACTCTCCCAATCGATGGTACCGTCTTTCTCGAAGATGCGAAAACCCGGTGCGACTTTGGACACGTAGATCTTCGCAGGTCTGAGTGGGTCGTCGTCTGGGATATCGAGGTCTAGAAATACGACCTTTGCAGACGTCATGGCATCCTCGAGGAATCCGTACGAAAAGATGTTTTCGCATGCGCCTTTGTCGTCGCCGTATCTACATTTGTGAGCGAGTATCCTCCGATTCGTCATGATGACCTACGTGATCGTTATCTCATCACCAGCTTTAACTTGTTTGCCCTCTCGAAGTAGCAATAGACCATTCCCGTTACCATCAGTCTCGTACAATGCGGCCGTCGCATCACCAGACGCGTGGTTTGCCATGTCGACGCAGGGGACCATGCAGTCACCAGTACCCGGGAATTCCAAAGCTCTAGATCTGTACATGGCATCGACGCACATCCAGTCGTCGAAAGTCAACATACCATTTTCTTCATCCCACCAGTATTGTTTACACCAGCTGATAGATTCTGTAGCAGTCCGCAAGTTTTCGAATTCGCGCAATAAGCTGTTGAGCTTTGCGCTGACTGCAGGTTTGAGCGTGGTTCCAACGAGAAGCTCCTGTTCTTCCTCGCTCCAGAAAGTGGGTAGCAGCTCATCTGGAAGGAACTTGACGTATTCCGTGAGAGGATTGAGCACGCCAACATCCTTTGTATTGGGGCAGCAGATGGTTGCTTGGAGGAGTAGAAAAGTAAAAACGGCACCTCTTGTTGTCTGTTTCATGTTAGTGCTGGGCACAATTGCATTTCTTCTGGAATTGCCACACCCTTCCAAAATTTCCAAGAGCTTCGAGAAGTTCGCGCAGATGATGATCTGACTTTGCAAGGAGTTCAATATTCTGACGAGAAATGATCAACTCCTTGGGCACGACAAGCAAAGGCTCGGCTTCGCCCCCTTGAAGCTTCTCGTCAGCAATGACTGTAGACCCTCTGTCCTCATAGCCTGGCAGCGGGCCTACTTTGACGCCGTTGAATTTGACGCCATTGAATGTTGCCCAAGTAGGTAAAACATCAATGGACTCTTTGAGCCACCCCTGGGTCCTGCCTCTTCGGATCATCGTAATCTTGATGTGGTAGATGAGGCTTTACAGCGCACGGGCGCGGCCCACTGCTACTCTGCGACACACAGGTTTTGTGGGTCGCCAAGGATCCCGCCTCAAACAGCGACAACTCTGTGGAGTCTGTACGATGACAGCTGACTGTTGACTGTTGGAGTAGCACAGAAGAAAGACCAACGGCTCGATGGCTGCATGCGGTGAGGACGATCGCGATGCCGCCGGGCTCTAGTGCGGGTCGCGCAAATTGTCCGCGATTACTGCAGCAATCGAGATGCAGGCTGCCTTTAGGAGTCCGTACACTGGACCCTGTGAGGTCATGCAGACACGACGACAGCTGCAGGTCCAAAGCCTCGAGCTGCTGGTTCCCTAAGAGACGGAAACAAACAGAGTCGTAGCCGGCGGGACAAGAGATGCTGGCAAACGAAGAGATATGTCTCAGGACACCTATAGGCAGTGCGTCATGCAAACAGCAGGGAGGGCCTCACCAGTTGTTGTGTTGTTGTGGTGCTTGGGCCAAGACGTCTAGAGTTGTTATGATGGCGTTGCGGGCATCCCGAAACCATGGAGTGGAGCTAGCGGGCGAGTCCGTGCGTCTGTAAACAACAACAACATGGAGGATGTGCTTAAACCTCCAACCATCCGCCGTCACACATCTTTACAGTTATTCCTTACTCCGACCGCAGCAGGACACGCAGACGCAGACGGCACTTCCGCCACCAGCCATACCGACGACGCATCTTCCTTTGCGCTGCGCTGCCGACATCGCTGCTCTCGTCCCAAGTCGGCATCTCGTCAACGTCCTTCCCAGCTGTAGTCAACACCTGCGGGTCGCACCTTCTTCTTCGCAATGGCTTCACCACGCGATCGAGTGGCCAAGATGTCGCGCGCATCCACCACCAGCTATGGTCAGGTGATCGAGGTGAGCACCACAACACACACCAAAACAAAGCGATCGCGGGACCCGTTCTGATCGATCTCCTAGTACATCCAAGACAGACTCTACCTGGCATCCTACACAAGCCCGCCCGATGCGAACACTCCGTTCCCGTACCCCAAGCAGAGCCAATCGCCCTCCAAGCGGTCGTCGCGCGCGCAAGTAGGTCCTACTGCCGCCGGCCCCAAGGCGCACCCTCCCGTCTACTTTAGTATCGACAAGACGCTCCTGTACAACGCCTTCCACGGCGACTTTGGCCCACTGCACATTGGCCACCTCTACCGGTTCGCGGTACAGCTGCACGAGGTTCTGGGCGATCCTCTCAACGAGGACCGCGCCGTCGTCTTCTGGAGCAGCGCCGACTCGAGGAGTGAGCTACTCCACATTCCTCACTCAATAGCACCCGTTAACATGCCTAGGTCGCGCAAACGCTGCCTGTATTCTCGCATGCTACATGGTGCTCATCCAGTCATGGCCACCTCACCTTGCTCTGGCGCCCATTGCCCAGAT